TGGGCGGGGCTTCGCGGGACGGGGCGGAGCCCTCTTAAAGGACCCTACCTCCTTTTTTGAGAGGGGAGTTCCCGCTCCGGCCGCAGGCGCTCTCTTTTTTTTTTTTTTTTGAAAGACAGAGACACAGCGAGAGAGGGGAACACAAGCAGGGGGAGTGGGAGAGGGAGAAGCAGGCTCCGATGCGGGGCTCCATGCGGGGCTCGATCACAGGACCCTGAGATCATGACCAGAGCCGAAGGCAGACGCTTAACTACGGAGCCACCCAGAGTCGTCCTTTTTAAAACAGAACAATAAATAAATAAATTAATTAATTAAAAAAAAAACCTGATCAAACCCCACCGACAGTTCCCACCTTATTCAGAGTACACTGCAAATGCCTTACATGGACTTTGAGGCTCTATGCGTTCTGATCCCTGACAATCTCCCCAACCGCATCTGCTGCTCTTCTCCCTTTTACACTCTTCTGGCCACACGGCCACTACTAGGCTGTTCTTCAGATATTCCAAGTATCCTCCTACTTCCTGCCTTGTCCCTGTGGTACCCTGTGGCTGAAAATCTCTTCTCCCAAATAGTCACTTGGCTTGTTTTCTCACTTTGTCCACGTTTCTGCTCCAGCGCCACCTTATCAGAGGGGGCTTTCTTTTCATTAAAAAAATATTTTTTATTTTTTAAATTTTATCTATTTTTATTTTTTATTTTAAAAATATTTTAAATGTTTATTTTTTTAAAAATTTTTTTATTTTTAAGATTTTGTTTATTTTAGAGAGACAGAGCATGAGCAGGGGAAGGGCAGAGGGAGAAGAAGACTCTCAGCTGAGCCTGACATGGGGCTCAATCCCAGGGTCCTGAGATCATGACCTGAGCTGAAGGCAGATGCTTAACCGACTGAGACACCCAGGCGCCCCTAATTTTTATTTTTGAATTAAAAAAATTCTTAGAGGGGCCTTAAGAATTCTTAACCATCCTATCTAAAATAGCAAGTCTTGGGGAGCCTGGCTGGCTCAGTTGGTTGAGCATGCCACTCTTGAACTTGGGGTTGTGAGTTCAAGCCCCACATTAGGGGTAGAGTGTACTTAAAAATAATAATAATAAATTATCAAAAAAACCCTCCATTATCTTTAAAAAATATCAAGTCTCCCCCATACTCCTTGTCTTCCTTTTTCTGCTCTATTTTTCTGAACAGCACTAATCTCCACTTCACATGTGGTCAGGAACTGTACAGCCTCGGAGATTGTACAATATTTACAAACTAATAAACTGTTACTGTTTATTACTGTTTAGTAATAGTGTGTTACTGTTTCATGGATGAAACTCCTGAGTAAGAGACAACGGATTTTGTCTAACTTGTTTCCTATTACTCATGGTAAGAACAGTAGCAGGGGCTTTACATGTGTTTGTGTCAGTACCCCATGTCCCCTGAACCCTGCAAAGGACCCACCATGGAGCCCTATGGAACTCATGGATGGCAGTATAGAAGAGGAACACAGGGATTAGAGATTCACTGCTTTTTTTTTTTTTTAAAGATTTTTATTTATTTTTCAACAGAGAGAGAGACAGCGAGAGAGGGCACACAAACAGGGAGAGTGGGAGACGAGAAGCAGGCCTCCCGCTGAGCAGGGAGCCCGATGCGGGGCTGGATCCCAGGACCCTGGGATCATGACCTGAGCCGAAGGCAGACGCCCAACGACTGAGCCACCCAGGCGCCCCGAGATTCACCGCTTTAATAGCAAGTGGTAGGCATACCTGTTCTTTGTTGGGGTGGGGGACCTCCCTCAAGGTTGCTTGCTGCAAACACAACCCTGAGAAATAGTCTGGGTAGAGAGCTTTGAGGGCCTTGCTCTCTTGGCATTCCCAGCAGGAACCCGCAGGGATGTGCAGGGCCCATGGCCCATTGCTTCTCCCAACAGTTATATGATTACTTGCTCATTGTCTGTCTCTCCAGCTACAACATAAGACACAGGAGAGCAGAGACTTTGTCATTTTGTATGTCCAGCCCTTTAAAAAGTGCCTGGCCCATGGTAGTTGCTCAGTAATTATTTGTTGAATGAATGGATTGATTTACATCCATTGATTAATTCTCAGCAGGGATTCTTTCATCATTTCCTAGGGCAGACCCTTCGCCCCACCTTGAGAATACAGATGAATCAGACATTGTATATCAACTCTGGAGTGGGGGAGCCAAATCCTGATCACACAGTGTGTCCATGCTGTGATGTCAGGGAGAGCAGAGGCATGCTCCCTGTCTAACCTACATCCTTCTCACTGCAGACCAAACTATATCTTGCTTAGAAAGAGCTGGAAGTACATGGCTTCGTGGAGTTCTTGCCCCATCACAGACGGGCTTGGATTCCTCCTGCCAGGGGTAGGGAGGGGACTCCCCAAAAGTCCGATGGTAATGAGTACTCTGAACATAAAGTAAGGCGACCTGGGGGATAGAGACAGACAGGAAGAAGCTACTTTAGGTCAGGGGAGAACTCTGTAAGCAGGTGATGTTTGAGCAGATGCCTGAATTCAGCGAGAGAGGAGCCAGTTAAGTATATTGAAGAGGTTTCAGGCAGAAGGAGCAGCAAATGCTAAGAGCCTGAAGGGCAGTCTCCCCGAGGCTTCTGAGGAGCAGTGAGGAGGCCAGGGGCTGAAACAGATGGAGTGAGGAGAAAGTGGGGAGAGAGGAGGCTGTAGAGGTGACTGACTCTGGCCCCAGTAGCACTTTCTAGAAGGGGCTGGGCTGAGACCCATTCAATCAGCATATGTTGAGTGCCTGCTCCGGGCCAGGCCAGAGGTGCCATCCACCTGCTCAGTGGCAGATGGACAGATTACAACAACCACAGCCGCACAGTTGGTGAGAGCCACCCCAGGAAGCAGGGGGAGCCGAAATGCATGAAGTGTCCCTGGGGAGCCACCGCTACACTTGGCTGGGGAGGTGACTGTTGGCCTAGAAGTCAAAGTGAGTTGGTGCTTGTCACCTGGGCAGTGCAATAGAAAAGAGCTGTGTGTGGGATCCGTACTGCGATGAAGAGTGGGAATGGGCAGGAAGACCAGACCCAGGCCTGGAGATTCTTATATCAAGAACACCCGGGCAGGGCCATCAGATACCATCTGGGATAGTGTTTTTCAAATTGGCTTCTGTGGAGCTCTGGGGAGATGCTTCAGGGATATACTGTAAGGGAAAGGGGGAAGCTGCATGGGTAGTGTCCAGAAACCCCACCCCATTATTTAACAGAAGCAGCTCAGGCTTTACCTCTATTATATATTGAGCTTCCCAAATGTGTGTGAATAAAGAATCATGTGGCTAAAACAATATCTAAAGGCCGTTGGTCATATTTTTTTTACAGCTGTATCAAAGTATAATTGACATAGGATAAGCTACACATAGTTAAAGTCTATGGTTTGATAAGTTTTGGCCAACGTGTCCATCTAGGAAGCCACCACCATAATCAATGTAATGCACATGTCCAATAACCCCGAAAGTTTCTCCGTGCCCCTCCCCCAACTCCTCTCTGTCCTCCCACTCCAGACTGTTGAAGCTTTGCTCACAATAGTCCCATACTGGAAACACCCCAAATGTCCTTCAGTGGTCAACAGATAAACCAGTTGTGGTACACTGATCAATGTAGCAACATCGGTTGAGTAGCAAAAGCATTGTGTTGAGTGACAGAAGCCAGACACAAAAGTAATATATTGTATGAGTCCATTTACATTAAATGCAAATACAGGAAAATCTAATTTATGGTGATAGAAATCAGTGGGTACCTTTGGGAAGGGGGTATTGACTGGCAACAGGCAGGAGGGAACAGCCTGGGGAGATACAAATCTCTTAAACATTGATCACAGCTGTATACACAGGTAAACATTCATCACTTAAGATTTGTATTTTACTAAATATGTTCTCAGTCTCATTACAAATCCCCCTGTGAATGCAAACTCACTCCCCTTGCCCTATATATGCTGGAGAGGACTCACCGCCCTTGTAGGGGTCTGGATGGTCCCAGAGCTGGCAGGGTATCTGTGGGGTGGGGGACCCATGGCCCTTAAGCCATCTCTCCCCCACGGCATTTCCCACCTGCCCGTCCTCAGGTTTCTGGGAATGGACTCCCTGGGGAGGTGTTTCCTCAAAGCCTCTTTCCTGCCCCATAGGCCTCTGGGGCTGCTCTGTCTTCTGAGACAATCACCACTGATGTTTACAGAATGCACACTGGGTGCCTGGCACTTTGCTGACACTCTGTCTATAGCACAGGAGGGAAGACCCGGGCTTGGGAGGTGGGCCCCTTACCCCACCCCCACTCCCTGGCTTTGTCACGGAGGAGCTGGGTGACCTAGAGGAAGGAGAAGGTAAGCAGCATCACCTCTCTGAGCTGTAGCTGCCTCATGCCCAGATGGGCTGTCAACGTCAATCAGCTGGAGGATGGACGGAATGGTGTGTGGGGCCATGCCTGGGATGTGGGGATGCTCAGTGCCTGGGAGTCACAAACATCTGAGGCTATAGCCAGGGGAACAGTGGGGCTGGTGAGGCAGAAGCTGGAGAGGCAGCCCCTGTGTGGGGCCCTGAAGGCCAGGCTAGGGCTCTGACTCTGGCATTGTCACTTTCTTGCTGTGGGACCTTGGATGACGGATAAGTGAATTACTATGAATAAAGCACTGAAAGCAGTGTCT